CCGGTGGGCGGGGCTTCCTATAATTTCGATGTGAGCAGAAGCAGAGCAGAAAACAATTTGGTGTAAGGGAGCAATGTCTAAGGTGTTTCCTGCATACATGACGTGGGCGGAGGCCCGCCCAGAATGGGCGGGGCGCGCTCTGAAGTGTACAGCATTTTCTACAAGCCCTCATAATTCGGGTCGGGGAAGTCTTAAAGAGCCGGAAAAAGGTGGATAGAGGTGTATGGAGGAGTGGAGGCCAGCTGTCAATGGTGGGCGGGGCTTGACCAAAGTGGGCGGAGTTTGCGACGAAAATTCATAACTCGGCTCCAAGAAGTCCCGGAGGCCGGGAAAAAGGTGGACGGAGAATGGAGGTGGGTGGAGGAGTGGAGGCCAGCTGTCATCGGTGGGCGGGGCTTGACCAAAGTGGGCGGAGTTTGCGACGAAAATTTATAACTCGGCTCCATGAAGTCCCGGAGGCCGGGAAAAAGGTGGATGGAGGTGGGTGGAGGAGTGGAGGCCAGCTGTCATCGGTGGGCGGGGCTTGACCAAAGTGGGCGGAGTTTGCGACGAAAATTCATAGCTTGGCTCCAAGAAGTCCCGGAGGCACGGAAAAAGGTGGGGTAGGAGGTGGGTGGAGGAGTGGAACCTAAATACCAATAGTGGGCGGAGTTACCCAGGAAAGTTCATAACTTGGTTCCAAGAAGTCCTGGAGAACGGGAAAAAAGTGGATATAGGTCAGCAAAGAAAGAGAAGTTAACTGCTACGGTTGGGTGGAGCGTGCGCTAATATGGGCGGAGTTTGCGCCGAAATTGTAATTCGGCTCCAAGAAGTCCCGGAGGCAGGGAAAAAGGTGGATGGAGGTGGGTGGAGGAGTGGAGCCCAGCTATCACCGGTGAGCGGGGCTTGACCAAAGTGGGCGGAGTTTGCGACGAAAATTCATAACTCGGCTGCAAGAAGTCCTAGAGATAGGGAAAACGGGGTTAGAGGTTGGCGAGGGAAAAGAGATCAGCTGCTTCCAAGAGGTCCCAGAGACCGGTGAAAAAAGGGGTAGAGGTCGGCGAAAGGAAGGGGGCCAAATGCTATTGGTGGGCGGAGCACGCACCGAAGTAGGCGGAGTTTGCCACGAGATTTATTGTCCGGAAGCAGTCCGGAGACCGGGAAAAAGAATAATGGTTGACGAAGAAAAAGAGGTTGAAAGCCGTCGATGATGGAGCGGATAGAATTTAGCTGAGAATTCAGATATTCGTGGTGTATCAAGCCAAATTTGAAAATTTTCGTCGCACCATCAAAATTCGCCGCAGATCTGTGTTGCGCGCGCAATGCGTGCGGCGCCAACTGGTTTTACAGAAACAACCACGGTCAAAACAATTCTGGATCCACTAAAGAGAACTTGTGCGATATCCCTCTCGTGGACATATCACATGGTCTAACTTCCATTACTGTAATTTCCCATTAGTTGAATATATTGGACAATAATGGAAACTTTTTGTCGCAACAAATTCTGCGTATTCACGGCTCAAAATCTACGGTTATGCGGTGATGGGACGGCGCCTCAAAGTCGCGCCTGTCCCACGCGACCAACCAAAACGTGCGATGTCGTCAACGTCTTAATTCATCCAACGAACCTTGTGCCACCAGAGTTCTATCATAAGAGTCAAATGGTCTGGTTGAGTTCGAAAACCAATCACTGGTCCGTAGAAATCATGGAGGTGTCATTAGCGGGCAATGCACCAGTTCGTCTCGTTGATTATGCTGGCGGAGTTTGGCTGCGATTCGAACCAAATCCTTAATTTATTACTGCGACAAAAGTCCTCACAATAAGTATATTTATCTACACACCTAATCATTTGAGTATTTTGCCAGGTTTCACAGCGCAGCCAATTCTGTTTTGACCTCCTTGCAAAGTCAGACAATCGCACGCCTGTCCTCGTTAAGAAGTGTGCCTAGAGGGAACCCCAGCTGGAGTTTCAATGAACGGGCCTCAACATTGCCGTCGATACGGTTATGAATAAAATCAACATATTCCAGTCGGAGCTGATGATGATGATTTATTATCGGCTTCCCATTTACAGCGATTGGAAAGCCAAGTACAAAGCAAATTTCCGATAACTACAAAAAGAAAAAGGAAAGAAAACAAGTCTGATAAAGGGGGCATGAGGGAAGGGAGTGGATCAGTCAGCGTCAATTCTGCGCAGAAGGGCAGTGGCCGCCAACACTGCAAGCTCTTGAATGGCGATTGAGAGCTCCGGATACCAGCTCAGTAGGTCCGCCAACTTTGCCAAGATCCGACTCCCTGAAGGCTCGAAAGGGAACGAATGACCAACAGAACGCCAATGAGAACAACAAAACAAAAAATTACTGTAACTAAACAACCATTCTGTACCATACACATTATAGCACCGATACCATAGATCGCTTCTGTGCCTTTCATTTGTAGCCAGTTCACATCATTGTGATCATTTCAGTTCACATCCTTATTTCATCCTCGAGAAATTATTATAATAAATTAATTCATAATTCTTCTCACTTTGCTTATAAGCGAGCTAGATGAACTTGGTCAATGATAGAAGGCGGTAACTCATTCCAATGGGTGACCAACTACAGGGTGGCTACTAAATATTGGCGCATGGTTTATTGACCATATTTTTGCAAAGAGAAACTATTACATATTCAGAAGTTTATTTTTATATACAGTAAAACATATCCATGCATCACTGAAGAAGGTGCTCGAAATGGCCTCCCTCGGCAGTGATACAGGCTTCAAGTCTCTTCTCAACTGACATCACCGTGGGCCGCAAGTAAGTGACGTCAACGTGACGCGAGAAGATCATCACACTGGAATTGGCGCACAATTCTCAAAAGGACAGGCAATTGTTGGATCCGGCTAGCAGGCATCCTGCTCGACGTCGTGCGCACACAAGGAGCCGATTTCCAAAATCTGTCATGATTTAGGCAGGATTTTAGGCAGGATAGGTTACTTCCGACAACGAGACACCTTTTGTCTTGTGTGGACAAATCCGTCAAAATTAACGCCCAGATCTACCAGGAAACAATTTTACGTGATGTGCTCGTTCCATGGACTGTTTCGACCTCCAGCAAATGTCAGTGCCTTCTTCAGCAAGACTAGGCTCCTCCCCATGCCGCAAAATCTACGCTGGTGTTCTGTGACCGCCATTTTCCCAGGTTACTGGTCACCAGATGTTTGGCCATCTAACTCACCCGATTGTACCCAATGGATTTTGCGGTGTGGGGCTTCCTGCAGCAGAAGATGCCTTCTAGGCAACATCGAAGTTTGGACTTCCTGAAGGCTTCCTAGGAGGAAGCGTTGAAGTAACTCGACGAAAACTGCTTGCGGCCCACGGTGATGTCAGTTGAGAAGAGACTTGAAGCCTGTATCGCCGCCGGAGGACTTCTTTCCGAGCATCTTCTCTAGTAATGAATTGTTATGTTCTACTGTATATAAAGATAAACCTCTGAAGATTTAATAGATTCTCTTTTTGGAAATATAGGTCAATTAACCATGCGCCAATATTTAGTAGCCACCCTGTATAAGAGTCCAAGGGGAAAAAACTAATTCAGCAGATTTTCGAAGTTCTTTTACACAAAGGGTGGTCACTCTCTGGAATGAGTTACCGCCTTCTATCATTGACCAAGTTCATCTAGCTCGCTTATAAGCAAAGTGAGAAGAATTATGAATTATTTATTATAATAATTTCTCGAGGATGAAATAAGGATGTGAACTGAAATGATCACAATGATGTGAACTGGCTACAAATGAAAGGCACAGAAGCGATCTATGGTATCGGTGCTATAATGTGTATGGTACAGAATGGTTGTTTAGTTACAGTAATTTTTTGTTTTGTTGTTCTCATTGGCGTTCTGTTGGTCATTCGTTCCCTTTCGAGCCTTCCGGCAGTCATATCTTGGCAAGGTTGACAGACCTACTGAGCTGGTATACAAAGCTCTCAATCGCCATTCAAGAGCTTGCAGTGGTGGCGGCCAGTGCCCTC